GCATTGCTCTATGGTTTTGCAAGTTCAAACCGAAGAACGGAGCTTAGATATATATTGAGTGCCATGACACCCCTAAAAATTTTGAAAACTATTAAAATATAAAAGGTATTTCTATTAATTTGCTCTCCAAAAATTTTTATTAATCAATTAGCCCTCAAAAAATGTTTTGTAAGTATAGGTCCAAGATCAAAGATCTCAGACATCCTAAATCTGGTCATTAAGACTGTTTATTGCCATAGGCTAGATATGGACGAGATTAAACAGTTTGATGGTTGAAGTCGATTGATGAGTTGAATTTATATAGATATTAATGTGAAATTGTTACTTGATATTATTGATATTTGGATGAGTTTTATGAGATTTCATTTAATTTTACATAATTTTCATTTTTTATGTAGGAAAAGACTTACTTGGAAGAAATCATAATTTTTAAGAGAAAATTGCAAAGATAAAAAAGCTGAGGATTAAGTTGTGCAAAATCCAGAAGTTAGGGACCAAGACTGTAATTTTCCTATTAACAGAAACTGCTTGGAAGGCCAAAAACCCGACCAGTTGATTGTAGTGCGTGCTTAACAGAAGCTGTCGGCACCTAGTTGAAGGTGTTGATGCCTTATGCAATTTTCATAAAATCAATGTCTAATTTATTATGTTAGGTGTGGGTCCCACTTCTATTCCAATTAGGGTTTCTAAAATCCTATAAATACTTGTCTAAGTTCAGAATATAGAGAGTGAGCTTTGCAGGAGAGCTTTGGAGAAGAGCTTCAGAGAGCTTTTGGAGGCTGGTGGCTGCTCTCTTTTAGGCATTCTTAGAATTCAAGATAGAGGATCCAGATATCAAGGATTTCAATTTCCTTAAATTGAGTTTTATTCTTTCTTGATAGTGGTTCCTCCAACCCGGAGTACGTCCATTCCCCAAGCCTTCTTGCTCGAGAGTTCAATCCACTAGAAATCTCTTGCTTACGGGTGCAAGATTAAACCGGAACAAACTCTTGCTTGCGAGTGCAAGATTAAACCCTCACAAGTGAATCTCAACTCACTCAACCCCTTCAAGGATTTTCCCAATCCAAGAAGAATACAAAACCCTTGTAAGACAATTAACCCAAAAGCTCACAAGAAGAGAAGAAGAAGGAGATCCAGAACACTTTCAAAAACAAACCTTGTTTTCTGTATTGCTGGAGTAGTTCGTCCTTCTTCATTCCAGCAGATCTGATTTTTGATGTCCATTTAATAGTTGGTTAGGAGCCTTGCAATTAAAGCCCTTTTAGCCTTTCAAAGCCACCTCACAATTGCCCCAATTAGGTTCCACCTTATTCTTCTGACTTGTCTTGGAAAGTGCTAAAGTGCTAAGACATTTAGATACCCTATGACCCATTAAGAATAAATAGATAGTTGAGCTGTCAAAATTTAACCTTCCAGAATTTTTGCTTCGAAGCCAGAAATATTGCTTCAAACCATTTTCGGAAAACAAAAGTTCGAGATTGATTCGAACCAAAATAAATTGGTTCGAACCCAGAACTCTGAATAAGGAGGAACATGAATTAATTCTAATCGTGGGGAAAGATTAGAATCCTTGAATTAATTTTCCTGCACACTTAGCACAAAAATAGATTAAACTCTTTTGAATCATAGTTTTAAATCATCATCAAAATACAAAAAGAACCTAACAAATGCATTGGAAGCCTGATCACTTTTCAATTGATTTAGTGATTCATGTATGAACTTGAGAAATAATTGCATAACTTAGACCAATAATAATATAAACCGTGTGTTAGACTATGAGATCGAGATGTAATTAGCATCACATGTGGTAGTGGAGGAAGAGAAGAGAGTTAGGAGCTCCCTTTCTTAAGTTAGAGGTTTCCATAGAATTTAATACTCATTAGTTTGTTTAAAATTACATAGAGATATAACTAATTTAACAAACAAGTGAAAGATTAACTTAACTTGAGAAAGCTAGTTGGTTAATTTAGGAGAATCTACCATCACATGCAATAACACTTAACAAATTGGTTTTGGAAATATATTAATCCAAAATTTATATTGATTGATTATGGTGAAGTCAATGCCTTAGTACCTCATATCTTGATTAGTTTTATTATAATTGTTATTTTCTTTTTATTAATTTTAATTAAACTTTATTCTTTTTTCAGTTGTTCAAATAAATTAAGATTAATTATTTTTGGTATTTAGTTAAACATAATCCTCATGCGTTCGATGCTTTTCTTATAATTATATTACCTGAAATGACTACTACACTTACTAGAGTGATTTTAGTGCATCATTAACCAAAGTTGAAATCATTCCAATTGCACGATAAGTACGATGGAACTATACCTAGTTGATCCCTCTTTTCTGAGATGTTTGCTCTATTTGCCATGTCAAACCCCAATTATTTCACTAAGAAGACCACGTGGATAGCTCTCCAAGGCCTATAAATACCCCCTAAGGGTCACCTGCTACAAGTATTGGAAACAGACCTAAAACTTTCCCTTTGTTTTCTATTGAGTAGACTAGAGTATTACTGACTTAAGCATTAGAGTGTCTACCTTAAGGTCCACCTAGGGGCTTTGCAAGTCTACCTACTTGGAGAATTGAGCTTAAAGAAGACTTGAAGATTTTTAGTAATTATAGTTGGCACCATCTATGGGAAATTGAACTAAAAGCCTTGCCTTCAGAATTCTCATAACATGGTTAAGATTTGTTTTGTTCAAACTGCAAGTCCAACTCAAGCCTAAGTCCATGGCTGAGGTTAAGGGCTTAATGCAAACACGTTCCCACAATTGACACCAAATTTTGACATTCACATGGAGCAGCATTCAGAGGATGCAGGTGAAAACCAACCCCAAAATACAACTCCCACTTCGAGAGATGCAATAATTGCTCATCTTGGTGTGATGCAACAACAATTTAGAGTCTTTTAACTTGTTCTAACTTAGCTATCGGCTCATGATAACTTAATGATCCCTTATAAACCTATTAAATCTAGCTCACAAAACACTAGCCCCACAACCTCAATAATAAAATGATCACTCTCATATCCGCAATGACACCCCATCCCTTAATGAATCACATGGTCAATCCCATGCAGCTCTACCTTTGCCAAATCCACCTTAACTGGTTGTATCTGATGATGTTTCTAAAAGGTTGAATAACTTGGAAAAGATGGTAATTGACCAATGAGGTGTATTACAACCTCAAACTAATCCAACCTCAGTGCCTCACCTTTTGAACACCAATATCCTTCATGAAACATACCCGTCTGGATTTAAGATGTCCCCACTCGAAACATATGATGGAACCAAAGATCCTAATGACCACTTGCATGCTTTTTACTCATTCATGCAAGCTTAGAATGCTTTAGATGCTTTGATGTGCACGATATTTCCGTCCACCCTTTGTACTAATGCCCGAACTTGGTACTATAGCCTAGCTTTGAGGCCAACCAATTTTTATGTTGAAATGGCAATTGCTTTTGCCATAAAGTTTTCTAGTTGAAGATTGATAAAGAAAACTACACTCAAGCTCATGAGGGTAGTGTAACAGGAAAAAGAATCCATAAAGAATTATATGAATAGGTTCAATAATGTAGTCCTTGAGATCAATTCTTTTGATCAAGCAATAGGGATCACTATCATAATTCTAGGCCTCAACCATGAAAAGTTATGAAATAACTTGATTAAACATCCACCTGTCACCTTTGGCAAGGTCAATGATCTATCTTGGAGATTCATCCCAGTAGAGGAATACGCTTTACTTCGAAATCCATGTTATATAGGGAGAACAAAAACCTAGCTTGGAAGGAAGAAAGACAGAACAGGAAGAAAATTAGAGGTGCATAAAACAAAGGTCCATTTTCCATTACTAAGTTTGGCATGCTTGAACCAATCACTTCTCAAACTCAATCTACCAAGTCAAACACATGGACACCTTTTACCCTACCAAGATCATAGATTCTAATGCAAATCAAGAATAAAATGGAGTTGAAGCAACTAGTGCTAATGTGGAGCTCAGCCACAACCTGAGATGACTTAAGATATTGTGATTTTCACCAAGACTATGGTCATACGACTAAAGAGTGTAACCAACTAAAATCAGAGCTAGAAACCTTAGCTCAAAAGGGCATGTTAGTTGAGTACACAGTGAATAGGGGCCAACCTAAATTTGTGAAAGAGTAAGGACTATAGTCCCAAGGATGTCGAAATACAAATGAGCAAGATAGAATTGGATATCATCAAGCTCCACTGCCCCTACCGATCCTAGTTAGGATCATATATATGATAACTAGAGGGCTTGAAGTAAGCAGTTTAAGTTCAAAGGCACAAAAGGTATATTTTAGGGAAGTTAAGCGTTAAAGCCGAGCTCAAAGAGGGAATCTAATTGAGATTGGAGAAACTAACCTATAACTTTCACTTCAACTGATTTCAATGGTGTTGTTATATGTCACAATGACCCCTTAGTCATCTCTATTATAGTCAATAATTATAAGGTCCAATGTGCTCTCATTGACATAGGCAATGCCCTTGACACTCTATATTATCACTGTTTTGAGAACCTCGTCATTTACCCAACTTACCTGTAGAAATATGATGGCCCTATTTATGGCTTCATAATCAGCCCGTCCTAATTGAAGGAGTTATTACACTTACTATGGCATTTAACGAAGGACGAACATGTGTTACTTCTTCGTTTAGTTCTTGGTGGTAAGGATGGCTTTGTCTTTTAATGCCATGATTAGCCATCCAACTTTAATTGAGATTCAAGCAGTATATTTTTAATTTCATCTGTACATGAAGTTCTTGACACCTATGGGTGTAGTGATGCTAAAGGGTAACCAAGAGGTCGTTAGACACTGTTATATAACCTCAATGTCATGACCTCGGAAAAGTAAAGAAGTTAACCAAACACCCAATTCTCAAACCTTAGATACTCAGCAAGTAATGGGAGTTGAGTTTATTGATAGCAAGCCCAAGAATGAGGTTAGAGCCACCTTAGCTAAAGAGGTGAAAGAGGTGTAAATTCATGATAGAGATCCAACAAAGAAGACCTAGATTGAACTAAGCTCAATCCAAAGGATAGGGAAGATTTAATTAATTTTCTATGAGCAAAAAAGATGTTTTTGCATGGACTTCAACATATATGTTAGGAATTCTAACTATGCTTGTCATGCATAGATTAAGCACTGACCATTTGAAGAAGCTAGTAGCTTAGAAAAGACACTTTTTTTAGAGGTGAAAGGCTCTAGGTTATTAAGGAAGAGGTTGAGAAGCTTTTATGAGCTAACTTTATAAGAAGTGTGAACTATTATGAATGGATTGCAAATCCAGTTTTAGTAAAGAAGTCGAATGGCAAATGGAGGATGTGTATTGACTACATTGACTTCAACAGAGCATGCCTAAAAGACTGTTATCCAATGCCAAAATCAACAAGTTGGTTAAAGTGGCCTCAGGAAATGACAGGTTAAGTTTCCTAAGTGTATATTCAGGTTATCACCAAGTTCCTATGGCCCTCAAACATGAAGAGAAGACATTTTCCTATGCATGATATGACATTTAGAGCATGTTTGGTGAAGCTTGTAAGTGCTTCAGCTTTTTTGATACTATTTATGTTTCATAAGTTTAAATTTTTATTGGAAAGAAAATTTAAAAGTTGTTTTTAGAAAGAGTAAAAGGTGAGTAAAAAGGAAGTTTCCAAAAAGCAAAAGTTTGAAGCTTTTCAAAATTTACTATTTAAGGTCTTTTTAAGGCTAAAAAAATAAGTTACAAAATGTAAGTTTTGAAGAGGAAAATTTAAACTTATGAAACATAAATAGTAGCAAAAAAGTTGAAGCATTTGGAAGTTGAACCAAACATGCCCTTACTACTATATTAAGATGCCTTTGGCCTAAAAAATGCAGGTGCTATATATCAAAATATGGTGACTATAGTGTGCTTAGCTCAAATAAGTAGAAACTTGGGGATTTATGTAGATGATATTGTGGTGAAAAGTTTGAAGCATTGTTTTAAGGCTTGGCTCGACTAGGTCGGTTGAACCGATTCAACTAGAGTTGAACTTGAAAACAGATCAGATACACCCTTTAGCTCGTTTTGACATTTGGTCCGCTCCAACCCGTCTAGCCTACTTCACTCGCTTGGCTTGCTCCACCCATTGAACTCACTGGGCTGCACCTCATCTCTTCAATTAACCTATTTTTTTTCATTTTCAAGGTAACATAGCCATTTTATCCCACCTTTTTAATATTATTACATAAAAAACCCTTAAACTTCAATAAAAAAATAGATAAAAAAAACTCTAATTGAAGGTCAAAATTGAGAAAAAAAAAATAAAAGGAAACTATAGTCGGTAGTCCAAAAAAGCTGTAGAAAATAGAAAAAAGAAGAAAGTTCAAGAAACAAAACGAATCTTTCTTCCTCCACCGATCTCTCTACTCTCAACCACCATCGTTAGCAACCCTTTCCAACCTTTCATGACTCATCTTCCTTGCCTTCCTCATCTCTCTTCTTCCTTTATGAAGGTGTCGTCAACGTTGTTATCTTCCCCTGAGACATCAATGGCCAGCCACGTCGCCGTTTCCCCAAACTCATCTTCGAAACTCTCACTGTCTCCACCAAACTTTGACCTTCCCCTCTCACCACCACACCAACATCCTCTACAAGCTACAAATCATCCATTTCCCAAATCTTATCACATTGATTGACGGTCATAACCTTATCTCCCTCCAAAGAATCACTACAGTTCTGATTATCATCAACTCAGCTATCTTGTAAACAAGGTTGGTAAGAAAGAGCTGTAGTTGACTCAAATGCTTGATGCCATTTTTGTTGATTCCATGATAAAACTTGAGAAAAGAAAGAATATTAGAAAGAAATTGATTTGAAAAGTGAAAACCCTAAGGACTAAATTTGGGAATGGGAGGTGAAGAGGCACATGGAATTGGACTTTTGAGGAAGAAGAGATGTGACAGGGCTAAAGGGATGTGACATGAAAATGTAAAGTTCAAAAAACCTTACAATTGCATTGCCAAAAACTTGTCAAAGGAGGAGGAATAAATAGAATGAAATGTCATCTTATTAGAAAAGATTAAGAAGTAAAAATTATGTATGGGTAGTAAATTTTAACAATTACTACCCATACATTACTATATGTATTAATTACTGCCCATCATCTTGCCAAAAACTTATCTTATATTATGTATTTTAATATTTGTTAGTTTAGATCTTAAAAATTATATATATTTAATTAAATTTAT